GCGACAGCGGCGTTGACATTGGAGCTCGGCTGGCACGGGAGATGGCCGAGGCCTCTACGATTCGCTGCAGAGCAATATCTCTAAGCTGGCGCGAGTTGCGGGCCACGCCTGCTGCGCCACCCGGGAGCGCCGACATGTCTGGCAACATCCGCGTTTGCCGTCCGCACGGCGCGCTGCATGGCGCTGCGCCCCCATCGGTTATGAGAGAGCTGCCTGCAAACGCTGCCTCCGACCGTAGGTCGGGCATGCTGACTCCCAATCTTTCACGCCGATGTCGTTCTCCAATGCAACGCGTGGCGCGTCGCGGGGAGGCACCGCGTCGCTCGATCATCCGGGCGCGCTGGCCCGCGGGGCGCATGCTCGCGCCGCGATCCCGATTCGATCGAAGCACGGTTTAGCCACGGCACCAAGGGCACCACGTTCGCCATCCACGATCAATGTCTTGAGCGGCCCTAAGATCGAAATCCCACATGCAAGGATGGCAGAGGATTAGCTCTCGGAGGAGCGGCGCCCAGCATCGCTGGAGCCACCTTCGGGAAGCCTCGCTGCATACCATCGGCCGGCACTTCCGATCATGCGCCAGATCGAGCATTGGCGGTTGGCGAAGAAATGTCGCACTGCATCCTGGTCGAGAGCCGCGTCTAGCTCGACCGAGGGCGCGGGCGCGATTGAGGCGCGCCGCTGGCCCGCGCCCCGCGCTCGCGACATGCGCCCACCACGCCGGCGACGACGTTGATAACTATACTCGGGCACCGGGCTGCATTAAATATCTTTTCCATATGAGTCCGCGTTGTATGCCACCAGCGAGCGTGCATCTTTCGGGCCTCGCGGCGCGCTCGCGATTCATCCTCCGAGTGGCGTCGAAATTGGCCCAGTCTTCCGGTGCACGGCCCGTCGCAGCGCCCACGACTCGCGGCCGCGGCCGAGGAGCTCCGGGAGCTCGGGGCGCGGACGGGCCAGGCGGCTCAGGCGGTTCGTCGCCTTTCGAGAGATCGTCTCGGACGGGGGCCGGCGGCGCCGGTTCGTCGACGGGGCCTCGGCCCCGAGGCGGGCTAGCGGCGCTGGGACTTACCTGCGATCCACGGGCCCCTGCCGCGGGATCTCGAGACTGCCGCGCTCGGGCCTTGCGGGGGGAGATTCCGCATTGGCCGGCGCGGCGCTCTTGGGCGATCCCGCGCGGTTCGTCAAACCAGCGGCGTTAGCCAGGCCGCCCAGCGCGATCAGAATGCGCTCTATATCGCGGTGGGTCTCGAGCGCATCATGGACGAGAGCACGGCGATCCAACTCCTGGAGGCATAGCGCACATCTCTGAGATCTCACGCGACGTGGACCCAGATGGCCGCGATTGCCGCGGCAGCCAGGACATACTGGATAACGCTGAACGTCTGGTGCGTCGGCTGCTCGCTGGGCAGCCGGCGCGACGGCGGCCGTCTGCGTGCCCGCGGCGCGCTTGGGAGCTCCAGTCGCCTGCGGTCGGCCGCGGGGCTTGCCTGCCGGCGCAGGCGCGGCTGCGGTTACTGGCGCCGGCGCCGGCGGTGCGTCGGCATCCCCCTGGCGCTCGAGTTCCCGGAGAGCCCCTGGGCTGGCGCGGGCCCCCGTGGCCGGGCAAAGCTCTGCCATCAGGGCGAAGGGGATTTCCACCGCGGCCGCGAGAGCGACGGCGCCTTACACCGCGCGCTCAGCTAAGCGCCATGGCCAGACCCGGAGCGTCTTGACACGTCGGCAGCGACCCCACTTGAGATCGCGGTCTTGACGACTCCTGCACCTCAAGTTCCTGGAGAGCGCTAGCAGGTGCAGTGAGTTGGCAATTTCTGAGGACGGCCTCGCAGCTGGGAGACTGCGCGGCCCTCTTGCTCCCAGACAACATTGGTCGAACACAACCGCGTCCACATGGAGACGTGTAGCCACTTGTTCCCACGACGGTACCGCGCAGAGTAAGTGGGGCTCGGTTGTTCGACAGAGGAGCATCGCCCGCGCTGCACCTGCACCAGCGCAGCTTGGCCACGGAAGGACACGCGCGTGCAGCGAGTCCGCCAGGCCCCATGATGATCGCGGCCGCTGGGACCGCTAGGCGGCCGAGAACTGCGGCAAAACCGCGCCATCACCGCCACTAGTACATTGTTAGACCTGAGGCACTGTAGGACGCGTCGTTGAATACTAGGGTCGCACAAAGCACAACCAGCAACGAGGTCGAAGTGGTCTCGTGCATCGAGTGGTCGTCGAAGGGCAAAATGCGAGGCGCGGGCTTCACTTCCGCACAGCTCACGCATGTCCGCGCCGGGCCCTACGGCGCGGATCGCTGCCAGGGCATGCGCGACTCTTGCGGCCCAGTAGGTGGACCCTGCGGCGCACGTTTCCGCAAGATGCGCAACGACTGGGAGCTCTATGGCGCGTGCACTGGTTGCGTCCTGGAGCAATCGCTTGCGCTGCTCCTCCGTGCAAGGCCCGAGAGATCGTCTCCGATGTCGTCGATCATGTCTTCTGCCTTCTGGGGCGTTTGACTGGCAGGTGGCCTTGTTTCTCGCGTGCCCTCGCGCGTTCTGCCTCCTCGGTGGGACAGACAAACGACGGGGGCACCTGGTCGACGAGGTTCGAGGTTCTACCTGCCCATTCGCATGGCAAGATCCCATGCGCAGTGGATCGCTGTCTCCAGCTCGAAGCGTTGACGACGAGACTGCCTGACTCGCGTTGAGGTTCGACGCGGGCTGTTCTCTCATCTGCCAGCGCGGCAAGAAAAAACCCGCAAGAGGTCTTGGCTCGTGTGAGGAGGGCCTTCCAGACCAACGCGTGGACTCTGATCGCGGCGCCCTTACTGAGATCGGAGATCCCATAATATTCCTTCGTAGCCGTGTTGATATATTCGCCTGGATCGGCAAACGCAGCCTCACGTGCTTCACATAACTCTGACGTTTTATATGTCATATATGATAGTATTGCATGTTGTTGTCATGCATCCTATTGCAAGAGTCCGATTTGAGTCGGGATTGCCGGGCTGACGAACAGCCCAGGTTGGACGGTGCTGCGCACTTGACGAAGCTGCCGAAGCCTCCTCGCCATGCAGAGCAGCTGGTGCGTTCGTGGGACCCACAATCTTTGACTCTGCCACATCAGAAGATCTTGCTTGGGCCAAACCAAATTGCATAACCAATCGCACGTGGAATTGAAACAATACTTATGTTTTGATCCACTTTGCCTGGGAGATCGCCAAAGAACTCTCCCTGCCTGGAGGACGCCACGTCGCCCAGTGCCAGGACGTTTGGTGCGCCGGGTCTCTCGGACATGCGCGCAACAAGCTGACCCCCTGGTCTATCGTCGAGACGATATGGAAGGCTGTCCTGGCAGGTGGCTTGTTGTCGGGTTCTGGTGGGAGCCCAAGACGGCAGAGCCGAATAATGAATAGATGCATACCAACTGCTGGGTTCTGGACCACTTCGATGGTGAGATCCAACATAATTGCCAAATCTATTCCAGCACAACGTACGTCGCGTCTTCAGCACATCCGAAGTCATTAATGTAGTAGCTCTCTGGCGCGAGTATACTTACTTCCCGGATAAATACAGCTAGGCGGCATCATAATCCAAAACAATTGATGTTCGCGTCTGGCGAGTTCACCAAGGTGAGCGGAAAAGTGCGTAGAGGTGATATTGGCCTTTTGTTGTTGCCCTCGCAGTCGGACTGGGTGTCCGAGGCGAACTGCTGGTTGGCTTGCAGAACAGCCATAAGCACAGGCTACGCAAAGAATGGAGGGTGGCACCGATGCGGAAGTGAAGGCAAGCGCACACGTGCGTCCACACCGCACTCTTCGCACGTTCCGTGGATCGCGAGATGGGATCGCCCCCAGCTCAACTAGAATTGCGGGGGGTGGAAGCTGCACGAGAGAAAGAATAGCGGCAATCAGATGTAGATACCGGGGCTTCTACTCATCATTCAATAGGAATGTATGCATCGACGCTCGGGCCAAACAGCGGCGACCTCTCCGATAAGTGTGAGGAGGCGGGGGAGGAGGAGGAGGAGGAGGACGAGGAAGAGGAGGAGGAGAAGCAGCAGGAGGAGGAGAGAGGAGAGAGGAAAGAGGAGGCGGAGAGAGGAGAGAGGAGAGAGGAGAGAGGAGGAGGAGGAGGAGGAGGAGGAGGAGACATGGAGGAGAGAGGAGAGAGGAGGAGAGAGGAGAGGAGAGAGGAGAGAGGCGAGAGGAGAGAGGAGAGGAGAGAGGAGGAGAGAGGAGGAGAGAGGAAGGGGCGACAGGAGACAGCAGACGGGAGAGGACGAGAGGAGGAGAGCCGCGGGGACCGAGCGGGCGCGGCGCGACTCCGAGCCGGCCGACGGCCGCGCACGCCCCGGGGCCGCAGCGGAGCGCCACGGCCGACCCCGCGCGCGCCCAGTGCGGGCGGGCGCGCGGGCACCGCGCGCGCCTCACGAGGCACGAGAGCAGAGAGGAAGGCTCAGACGACGCCAGGACGAAGACAAATCTCGGGCAGGAGCGAAGGGGGGGGGAATAGCCAAGGGGGGGGGTTGTGAGAATCAGCTCGTGCGGCTGAGTTTCCTGGCGCCTCCCGGCGCCGGCGACGGCTATGTATCGAGGAATGGGCCCCTCGGGCGGGCCGAAACCAGCTGCATGCAGCAGATTTCGTCGTCCGGCCCGAAAATCCGGGCGAGGAGACCGTGAAGCCGTGTCATAAGAATGCAAGGGCCCTGGAGGGCCACGACAGCGTTTCTCGAGCGAGGCTGGCCAGCGAGAGTCGCCAAGGATGGGCCGAGGAGGCAAGGATACACGGGTACCCTTGGGAAGGTTGCCCGTCCGGACTATGCGGGAAATCGCGAGTCTCTGAGATCCGGCGGCTCTGGAGAATGTCTCAGGAGTTGGGGGTTCTCGGAGCGTTCTGGAAGGCTCCAGAGCGGATGGATCCTCAACCTGGCCCCGTCCTGGAACTCGACGGAGGGAAGCGCACCGAAAATGTTCAGCACAAGAACCAAGCAGGGAGCCCGCCCGGGGGCCACAGTCACCGGCTCTCAGCGCTGGGCTCGCCGTCGAGCCTGGCCAGCAGGTACTCCACCTCCACATCCTTGGTGAGAGGCATAATCCATTCCTCAAAGACCCTACCCACAAACTCTGGGTTCACTTTGTACGACGTCTGGGAGCTGCTGTCGGGGACCTGCTGGCCCCCCTCGGCGGAGGCGATGGTCTGGGAGAACGTCCTCGCCTTGAGTACGACGCGCTGGACGTTCTTTCTCTCGACCTCAGGTTTCGTGATGAACGCCATGAGGCCATCGCGATCGCGCGCCTTCCGCGGAGCTAAAAATGACTGCTCCACGCGCGCCACCCTTCCCCAATTTACCACTTCGGGGGGAAGGGGGGCAAGGGAGAGGAGTAAGACTGGAGACTATAGAGCGCGTGAGAGCACTGGGGATGGAGGATGACGAAGAAGATGGAGGGAGGAGGAGGAGGAGGAGGAGGAGGAGGAGGAGGAGGAGGAAGAAGAAGAAGAAGAAGAAGAACAAGACGAAGAAGAAGAAGGAGGAGGAGGAGAATAATGATAAGAATAATAATAATATGGATGGAGGAGGAGGAGGAGGAGGAGGAGGGAGGCAGGGAGGGAGGGAAGAGGAAGGAGGGAGGAAGGAGGTGCGGACATCGTCCTCTGCTGCTACGCAGGACATGGAAGTTGGAGCCACCGGGGGGGGCTTTGGAGCAAGGAAAAGCCACACCACCACCACCATCAGGGCGAGAAGCCAGGGTGGGGTCCTACGGGTGGCGGGTGGCGATGCGGAAACTCCCACCTCGGCTGCCTCCCGCCCTGAGACGAAGCCAAGACGACTCTGAGATCCAGCGATTCTGGAGGATGTCCTGCGAGCCGCGGCCTTCTCGGAGCGTTCCGGAAGGCTCTGAGAGCGTTCCAGGACGCTCTGGGACGGATTTATCCTCGTCCTGGCCCCGTCCAACGAGGGGGAGGAGGAGGAGGAGGAGGAGGAGGAGGAGGAGGAGGAGGAGGAGGAGGAGGAGGAGGAGGAGGAGGAGGGAGGAGGAGGAGGAGGAGGAGGAGGGAGGAGGAGGAGGAGGAGGAGGAGGAGGAGGAGGAGGAGGAGGAGGAGGAGGAGGAGGAGGAGGAGGAGGAGGAGGAGTCTGAGGAGGGGGAGGAGGAGGAGGAGGGGGAGGAGGAGCAGGAGGAGCATCAGGAGGAGGAGCAGGAGAGGAGAGGACAGGGCAGGACAGTCAGGGGCCTATTCCCTTGCACGGGCTCTTGGGAAAAGCGAAGCCGAGCGTCGCACCCCTGGTTGTGGTCCTGTTTCCTCGCCTCTTCGCCTCCTCGCCTGACGACTGACAGGGAACATGTTGACACCTACGGTAGGTTCGCGCGGCGCAAACGCGCGCAAAGGTTTTTGGCACCGCGTCGATCGTTCAACATTGGATCGATCGTGGCCCCGATCGTTCAAGGTTGAATTCCGTCGGGTCCAGTGGCGTTGCGTGTACAGCGGTGCTGCCGCGTCGCAGACTTCAACCTTGAACGCCTTCGCTGGCGTCGCCAGCGCGCCAACGCCGCATGAGTCTACCGTAACAGGGAGCACGTCGCCCCCGACCCCAGACTTCGTGAGTTTGTCGAATGGGTCAACACTTTGGGGCCCAGGGCCAAGCTCGGGGACATACGACAGGGAACGCCGATCCGACTTCGTCATCTTGAACGAGGGGGGCGGGAGGACGAGGTCACCGATGGGAGGGGGCAACTCACGGATGCAGGGTGTCGCCGCAGTCTCGCCCCACGCCTTCTTCGAGAAAACAAGCGCCCAGAACTCACGGAGGCACGCGAGCATCTCCTTGAGTGTAGACGCGGGGGAGCGATCAGCAGCAGTGACAGCGGCGAGCGAGACCCGACGGTTGAGAGGAGACCAAATCCTCGCACGCCTCTCCAACGCCCGCAACTGGACCAGAATCTGCGGCGACTCGCCATCAGCCCCGCGCTGCTTGCGAAGCTCGGCGCGGATAGCATCCGCCACCTCACACTGAACTCGATTGGACCAGGCAAGGAACGATTCGGGGTGACGCAATCGTACCGTACCGAACTCAACCACCAGGAAGTCGGATGCCACAGGACGAGAGCGGAGTAGGTTTTCCCCGAGATCAATAGCCTGCCTCCACACACACACCGAGCGATCGAACGTGCTAGCTGCAAAGAAGTACGTGGATGGTGGGGATGAGCACGAAAGAGACGATCTCGAGTCTCCCCAGCGGCTATGCGAACCAGCTCCTTACAACGCTCGAGGCGGCGAGGTGGGGAGAGACGAGGTAGGTCGGCTGGAACACACGACGGTCGACCGGCTGCTTGTCGATGGGACGGGGGCGCCTCGGCGAGATGGTGAGAACAACCGCAACATGGTCCGACGCTAGAGAATATGATACCTCGGCGGCCGTCCCGATAGTGTCAGCTTGCAGAAATAACTGGCATAGCATCCACCCAGGGCACGATGGAAAAAAAACGATCGACGCACGATCCAGAGTTGCTGGCTTTTTCGCAGTGGGTGGGCGCCGTGCACTCCACCTCCATCAATTCTGCAAGCGCGCGACGCCAGGCGGGCGCCTGCGCATGGTGCCGCCGAGCGGCGCGGCGGACAGCCGCCTGCGGCATACGCAGGACCACTGCTTCCTCCGCCGCGAAGTTGATGTCCCCGTGGACAATGACGAGGCGTTCGGTGGGATCCATGGCCGCACAGGCCCGAGTACTGCGGATGACCCGCACCACCGCTGCGGCCTGCATAGCCGTGAGCTCGCGGTTGTGAACATTGAGGATGTCGAGCTGGATGTCCGCGACTTCAACCATCACATGCATGACACGCCCAGCCACCAGCGGGACAGCACGACTTTGAACGAGGTGGCCGCCCACTGCGCCGAGAGCAGGAAGGAGGACAGCAACACCACCGCGACCACGGTCCTCGGGAGCGTCGCCACAAAATGAGGCGTGGATAGTGACCGAAGGATCCATACCCCCATTGAATTCTTCGAGCTGTCCAGCATCTTGCCGAACCTCCTGGAGAGAGACAATACTCTTGCCGATGTTCAACTTCTCAACGTACCTCCGCTTGAGTGCGGCTTTAACCCCAGCCGCTTGCAAGAGAGCCCTGGCATTCCAAGTCACTACACGCAGTGGGGGCATATCACCACCAGGTACAGGAGTAGAACATGTGAACAGCTTCGCAGCATCGAAGACACCACTGAGGCTCGGCTGGTGGCGCCACGAGGCGGCGCGTGAGCTGCACAAGGTTGTCGGGCCCCACCAGATGGTTGCACGCGCAGCACCTGCGGCAACCTCGACACGAAGGAGCCTGTCCCACCCAACAGAGAGCGTGCCACGGTCGCGGTCACTGAAGAGACGGAGGCCAGGGTGGGCCTCGGCGATGGCGGAGCGACAACGGCGGAGCAGCATCTCGGTTTTGATATGGCGAAGGTTCTTGTCAGGGCCGAGGTGCACGCGCGCCCGGGCGGCGTCTGGTACGTCCACGCGGAACTCCTTCCACACACCATCAACACGAAGACGAGAGAGAAAACGAAGGACCTTGCGCGAAGCGACGGCGACAAGGCCGCCGAACTTGAGGCTGAACTTCTTGCAAGGCGACTGCCCCACGGGAGAGATCTCGTAGTCAGATTCAGGGAAGCGGAACTCGTCGAGCCACTCCTTGAGCGCCGCACACACGAGCTGTTTGGTGGTGGCAGCCTGGCACATGATGATGACCACCGTGGCGTCGACGTCACGCTAGAAGCCCTGCGGGAAAGCGAGGGACCTGGGGACGCTTCTCCGCCAGGGCAAGCTGGTCACGAAACTCCCGCATCTGCTTCTTGAGCACGACCACATCCCCCTCAATCGACGAAATACGACCACCATGATCTTGAAGCGCGCCCGTGCACACATCAATCTTCTCTTGAAACCGACGAGAAGCGTCATCCACATTCCGACGAACCACCCCGAGAAACTGCTGGTCGAGCGCTGCCGGTTGACCCGCAAGCTCGTTTCGCAGCTGGTCGACGAGGGCCAGCATCTTGCCGTTGGCCGAGGCGACGTGGTCGGTGACACATGTTTGGACTGAATTCGCAAGCTCCTGCTTGACACTTTCCAACACTGTCGGGAAGAGGTCCACGCATACTTTGCGTACGTAGTCGTCTGACATATACGCATCCTCAGCCTCCTGCTCGCCGTCGTCCGAGGCAGCAGCGCGCTTGCGGGGAACGAACTTGCCCGGAGGAGAAGAACCACCATTGAAAGAAGCAACACGACCACCTTTGCCAAAGCTCCCAGCGGGCTCCTGTGTGGCGAACGTGGGGCAGACGTCGATGGCGGCCGCGTCCTGAGACGAGAGCTGGTGCCCAGTGGTGGCGGCCATGACTGGAGACTCTGGTGCGATCGGTCCGACAGGAACGGGAAACGCCTCCGTTTACCCACCGTCCCAAGCGCAGGAAAGGTGAACATGAGAGAACACCAGACTTCAAGAAGCCTCGCCAGCCGCGGACTAGCGGTATCCGCTTGGTTCCCAGGGGAAACCTGCATCTTGAGCCAAAATGGCTACGGAGGAGGAGGAGGACGACGAGGAGGCGGAGGAGAAGGAGGAGGAGGAGGAGGGGAGAGAGGGAGGGAGGTACGGAGGAGACTGCTCCGAGGGGGAGCAGCAGGAGGAGAAAGCGCGGAAGCGAAGGGGGGAGGGAGTGGGGAGAAAGGAAAGGGAGCGAGGGAAGAAGGGAAACGAGGAGATGGCGAGGAAGGAAGGAGGGCGAGGAAGGAGGGAGGGAGGAAGAGGAAGGGAGGGAAAAGGGAGAATGGGAGAGGAGGGGAGTGAGGAGGGGAGGGGGGCAGGATAAAATGGAAGAGAGGGAAGAAAGTGAGAGAGAGAGGTACAAAACACATGAAGGACAGAAAAATAAAGAGAAAGAAAGAGAGAGAGAGAGAGAGGCGGGATCAAGGCTCTGCCCTGGACCTTTATCAGTGCAGTTGCCGTCTCGCGCTCCGAGCGGAACTTGGACTCCGCAACGAAGAGGCCAAAGTATATCCGCGTGGCCATAGTCTGTAGGCAATGCACGTCCTGCACAGAAGTGGAGCCGTAGTTGCCATCATCGCCCTCCTCACACAGGGTGGGCACGATACTCTGGCGACGTCAGGGCCGAGGAATCAATGCAATCGGTGGGGTGATTTTTCCTGGACCTCCCCCCCTCGCATGTTGCCATGCCGTGAATTCTGGGTTTGCAGATTTTGAACATCGGGCGTGTTCGCTTGGCTTGGGCCCTGGAACCATCGCACACCGATCCGGCCCGAAAAGTGCATCAGAAAGATGGGGTGCAGGGCTCCAGTTGTGATTTTCAGCGATGGTGCGTTTCTCTGCAACGTCGAATCTCAGGGTGTAGCAAGCGACCCGGCTGGCGATCTGCAACCTCGCACTCGGATGACCCGCTGGCATCTCGGCTTTTGAACGCTATGATGGACGACCCGCACTGCCCGCGCGCACGCATCCTGAGAGAGGGCTGAGAGGGAGGATGGCCAGCGAAGCAGCCCCTTGTGGCAGCCCTCCTTTCAAGAGCCGTGCACGGGCGCACTTGCGCGATCCACCTCCCACATCCCTCCGCCCCCCCCCCCTCCACCCCCAACTGCCTCTCTTCGGGCTGTGGTGTACGCGTGCGCTGCGGCAGTGCTCGGGGCCCGCTTCGGGCTAGGGGGAGGGGGGGGGGGCGCAATCGGGGAAGGGGGATGCGGGAGGGCGGGGCCATAATGCAATGTATGGCCCAGGCGTGATGGGTATTGATTTTCTGGCGAATTCCCTAAGCACGACTTTCTGGATATGAGCGAGGCTGGGGGACAGAGCGCGAACATATCTGGCTGAAAACAAATCTGGGCATGTTGAGCCATGAGACCAGTGATGCACTCCTCGTCGACTATCCCCTAGGGTGCCCAAGTGCTCCGCCTGATACCTCGCGACCACCATGGGGTTCTGAAAAGAAAGTAACCAGAAGTGCCGAACAACAAAATGTCCAACCAAATCCGCCGACCCCTTACAGTCACGGCGTGTGAGATGCTTCCCCCTCCCCAAACCCCTCCCCCAGGGGCCTGGTCTGGCCGGTTTGGAGGGGGGGGGAGGGGGAGGCAAATCCATCATCCGCACACTTGGAGCCTCAGGAGGCCCCAAAACGGGCCAAAAAGGTTCCGAAGGTTCCCGGAACGGTCCAAGAGAGCGACGAATCGACGAAAGATCGCCCCAAAACGCTGAAGATTGCCTCCACACGGCTCCATACGTCCGCAAGACATTTGAAACAATATTACGAGGCACCCCTAAGAGGCCCTCCAGAAGCAAAATCGTCCCATTCCTTAGGGAAAACGTGCATTTTCACCACATTCGCCCATTCGGCTCCCACGCGGCGCAAAACGGCCCAAGAAGCCTCCAAGATCGACCCTCGCCAGCCCAAGAGGCTCCCAAAAAGGCTCCAATACGGCGTCCTGGCGATCCACGAAGGCCCCAGAAACCATAGCAACGGCCCAGGATAGCCGCCAACGGTCCCGAGAGGGCTCCAAAACTGGCCAAGAGGGCCCCCAAAGGCTCAAAGGCTGTCCGGACGGCCCACGCGGGGGACGATTCGGTCCAAACCGCCCACGATTGCCTCCAGACAGCCCCATGGGCGTCCAAGACGCTTGCATACGCGACCACGAGGCGCTCCAAGCAGGCCTCCACAAGCAACAACCGTCCAATTCCCTAGGCGAAACGTTCATGTTAAGCACATTCGCTTCTTGGGCTTTCGTGTGCGCGGTCTATGTGAAGGACTACGAGCGGGCCTGAATGTGAGTGGCCTGCGTACTAATGAATCTGAAAGTGGGTGCCTGTTGGGGGGTTGTCCAGAAGCCCTCTCGGGGCGTCTTCGGGACCTGCTGGGCCGTCTTGAAGCGTCCTGGGGACTTTGGGGTGCCCTCTTCGGGGCCCCTTGGGTCTCCATGAAGCGTCTCCGCGCCGTTTCGGGGCGACCTTGTAGTAATAGTAGTAGTAGTAGTAGTAGTAGTAGTAGTAGTAGTAGTAGTAGTAGTAGTAGTAGTAGTAGTAGTAGTAGTAGTAGTAGTAGTAGCAGTAGCAGTAGCAGTAGCAGTAGCAGTAGCAGTAGCAGTAGCAGTAGCAGTAGCAGTAGCAGTAGCAGTAGCAGTAGCGGCAGTAGTAGTAGTAGTAGTAATGGTAGTATTACCAATAATAGTAGTAGTAGTAGTAGTAGTAGTAGTAGTAATAGTGATAGTAGTAGTAGTAGTAGTAGTAGTAGTAGTAGTAGTAGTAGTAGTAGTATTAGTAGTAGTAGTACTACAAGTAGCGGTAGTAGTACTAGTAGTAGTACTAGTAGTAGTAGTAGTAGTAGTAGTAGTAGTAGTAGAAGAAGCAGTAAAAGTATTAGTAATAGTAGTAGTAATAGTAGTAGTAGTAATAATAATAATAATAGTAGTCGTCGTCGTCGTCGTAGCAGTCGCCGCCGTCGTCGTCGTCGTAGTAGTAGTTAAGTA